GACTGTAGCTTTTTTTTCTCCAAAACTTTGTCTTCAAAATAAGGGTGCGTCTTATATTCCAAAAAATACGGTATATGTTTCTTAGTAAATCATATACCCTACTACTAGTGGTTTTCTTATACAATTTAAATGAAAGGCCGTTCTGGAGAGACGTTACTAACGTTATATTTTTATTCTGTCTTTACTAATGGTATGTCATTATGCTAAGTTATATTCATATCTAGGGGGCCTTTTTTAATATTGAATCTGTAAATATTTTCTACTGAAAACGTTTTTCTAATCTTATATTAAATACTATGTTAAGATAATTTAACTTACATGGTATATGAAAGTGCATTATTTCGGCTATATAATGGTACATAATTTTGTTTGATAACTATGACTGAAATGGCACAAGTAAGTCATTTCTAGCAAAATGGCGATTTGGGGCATGCTGACATTTTCACTCGGAGCTTATTGGCACGCGTGTAAACCAGCCTCCACAGTGAAAAATTCGCATGTATTTTTTTATGATCTTAATAAAAGATAGATATAATACAAAAATGTTATACAAAATTTTGATTAATTTTAATGTTGAAATGTGGAAAAAGTAAAGAAAATTAATTAAAATTCTTACAAAATTACACATCGTGTTTGTTCCTTTCCATTATTTTCTTGTCATATTTTTTTCTAAACTTTGAACTTTTTGTTGAACTTTGTTTTTAGGCGTTATAGTGTGAAACACTTAGTGTTTTTATTTCGTTTACTTAAATATGCAATAAATATATTGATATAAATAAAGTGCTGTCGATTTAATTTCATCAGTGTCAACTTATCCCAGAGATGTGTGTCAACTTTCCCTGTACTCAGGGTGGGTTGACATACAGAGTGCACTTTTGTATTATGTTCATTTATGGGGAAAATGAGCACATAAGTAAGTGATTTGTTTCTTGCTTTATGATAATAGATTGTGTCTAGTTTATATTGGTATCGAAACTTCATATATTGAAGTCCATAGATGAGTTTTATTTAAGAATTAAAAAAAAAGTCAACTAGCTCCAGTCTTCCCTACCACTGATGAGATATGAGTTACCGAGAAGCCTATTTGTTGTAATGTCTAAGAGTAAATCTTGAGGCTTTTTTACTTCTTTCTTTTTTTACTACACCTTAAGATATTTTAGTTTTGTTGTTGAAACTCTGTATTCTGTATTACTTTTCTTGGTCAGGAGAGAAGAACAAATAAAACATGCTAGAAAAAGAAATGCGATACCTAGCAAAGATAAAAAAAAGCGGGAAATTAAGTGTCTAGTACACTATGAAAAAATTCGCTCGAATCAATAACATAGCGGCTTCACGTCAGACCAGAAATAACTGTTAATTACGTAAAGAAAAAATAACAAAAAAAAAGGGAAAAGCCTTTTTCAAATAAGAGAAAAGTTTTCATATAAAAGCTAAAATTCATAAAACGTACACTTGAATAAGAAATTAGAATCGTTGTATTGGACTTTTCCTCTTTATTCACTGTGATTTGTTTTATAATGACATTTTTTATCATTATTAAAATTCAATAAAGTCAATGTTTTTGATATTAGTAACCCAAGAAAGTAATCATGTAATTGTTCTATAAATTTGATATATGAGTATTATTAGTTGTCGTAATTTAATAACCAGAAATGTTATAATCGTAAGGAGTCTTTTACAAATGCGTATTGTAGCACACCTGTTTTGGATTTCTGATACATATATAGAGTACTGGAAATAATTATAGAGGTTAGGAAAGTAGGATTAAAAGGAAAATACTGTTGGAATGCCACACCTTTATCGCGTGGAAATCAACTGCGCCAAAGTTCAGTCACGTATTTATAGTTCACATTGTGATTGGTTGTCATCCAACCAATCAAATAATGCCACACCAATATAAAGGCTATAAAAATACAGACAGTAATACTATGTATGTCCAGTAATAAGTACTGCGAAAGTGAAATACTATATGGCAAGCGTCTCGAAATCAACGTTCTGCTGGTCAAGAATGTTATTTGAGAAAGACTGCAGTAAGACTCCGTGTTTCAATAGGAACTGTATGCAAAACGCAGAAGAGGGAGTAAATTAATAATAGAAGTGTTCGAGATAAGTATAGGTTGTCTCAAGGACACTAAGATACACGAAGTGGTATCAGTGGATGTGTAGTTTGTTCGAAAACCGTTGCTGAGAAGAGCTAACTCAACCAAAAGATTGAAATAATCATAAGACATATGAATCCAAGTTTGAATTGTTGTATAACAGTATGTTAATTTGCTCGACGGCGGAGAGAGAGAGTAAAGGATAGCAGAACGGTACCATAGTTAATGTGCAACATCCACAGTGAAATATAGTGTATGATCAATACAAATCTGGAGCTGCACATCAGCCAATGACGTCATTAATCTACAGTTCTCCACGTAATCTAGTTCACACCAAAACAGTCGCCTGTTGTATTCCAGCCAGCTTGTTGAGCCCTGATAATGGCCGAAAGGCCTCATCAGCACTGAATATAGCAGATATAGTATGATCCACGTAATATAGTTCACATCAAGACAGTCGTCTGTTGTATTCCAGCCAGCTTGATGAGCCCTGATATTGGCCGAAAGGCCTCATCAGCACTGAATATAGCAGATATAGTATGATTAACAGGCCTCATCAGCACTGAACATAACAGATATAGTATGATTAACAGGCCTCATCAGCACTGAATATAGCAGATATAGTATGATTAACAGGCCTCATCAACACTGAATATAACAGATATAGTATGATTAACAGGCCTCATCAGCACTGAATATAGCAGATATAGTATGATTAAAGGCCTCATCAGCACTGAATATAGCAGATATAGTATGATTAACAGGCCTCATCAGCACTGAATATAGCAGATATAGTATGATTAACATATTATTAAATTCTTCTTTACTTTCACTCATAAGTTCTTGTAAATACACAAAATTAATGACATCCTGTGTGCTGAAAAGTAAAGGTGAATTCTGATTCATCATTCCATCCTTTCAACTACACGATTCATCTTCCTGCAAATCAGTTATTTCAAGCATCTAACAAGTGTGGTAAAACGATATACTGACGGTAATGATAACGATGGAATACTCACAACATGGCTTGGCTAACCGAAAGTCTCACGTGGGCTTATATAAAAACTGATAAGGTCAAAAGACCACCAAACAAGTTGACGGACTCGCCGGGAGTAATACAGAAGAGTTTGATCAATACTCCACCATCTTACATAGATAAACTGTATGGAAGCATAAAAATAAGTTGTATTCTCTGTATAAACTAGAGGTTACATTAATTTGTTGTAAAATCCCTGCATTTGTCTCGATCGTGTGTTTCCGTAATCTTCTCCATTACTGTGTGTTTATAGATATATATTGTGTCATGTGTCGTAACAGAGGGAATTGTAATAAATAATCAGATAAGTAATTCTACCAAAGGTTTCTGATAGAAGAGAGAATAAACCTCAAAACAGCAGGACGAAATAACATGAGATTATTTTACTGTATCTTGTGTGTTTAAAAGCTACAGTATAATACTGGGTTCGAATAAGTTTCGAACGAATGAAGAATTTTGAAGGAGTCAAATTGAATGTGGACAGAGTAGTGTTTGGGCAAAACTTCACATTAAGCTGATTAGCGAATGTGGACGGAGTAGTGTTTGGGGCAAAACTTCACATTAAGCTGATTAGTGAATGTGGACGGAGTAGTGTTTGGGGCAAAACTTCACATTAAGCTGATTAGTGAATGTGGACAGAGTAGTGTTTGGGCAAAACTTCATGACGTGCATTTGGCAGATATGTAAAATCTGAGTAAAGGGATTAATATCCACTACAATCACCTTCGGAAAACTCACGAGTAAGAGTGAATAATGTAGATATTCTTAAATGTAGGCCCTTCTTCTGCACCCTTTAATTTCTAATCAGCTTAATGTGAAGTTTTGCCCTAAACACTACTACTCCGTCCACATTCACTAATCAGCTTAATGTGAAGTTTTGCTCCAAACACTACTCCGTCCACATTCACTAATCAGCTTAATGTGAAGTTTTGCCCCAAACACTACTCCGTCCACATTCACTAATCAGCTTAATGTATCACACAAAGTTAATTTGTCAGGTTAACAAAGTGTTATCGTACTCTGAATGTCTCGTTAATGATATACTGCTAGAGTCCGTCTACCAAATTTTATATATTACAGTTTTATCTCAGTATTTCCGTTGCTTAGTTTTAAGATGGAATTTATGAAATGTGTATGTTAGCTTATTTTTGCCAGCTGGTACACTATAAAATTATATATATTTATGCAATTTAAGATATTTGACCCAGATGATTTTTCTAGGGCGCGGGCTGTACTGCCCTTGTAGTAGCTGTGATAGCGAGGAAGCTGGAACTTACCCGGGCGGAAAAACACGTGCACAACTTCATGATGGACACTCAACTGTGTAAACGGGTATGAAATGTCTCTAGTTTGACATAATTACAAAGCCAATTGCGTATTATGCCTTACACGTGTTATCTTTATCTCCGGTGCGTGTTTACGTTGTGTTTGACATAAAGGTAAATCCACAGAAATATTAAACATTACACATGTTCATTTTATATTTTATGTGTGTACATTGTGTTTGATATAAAGACAAATCCACAGAAATATTAAAGCTTACACATGTTCTGTCTTCTATATCTTATGTGTATACATTGTGTTTGATATAAAGACAAATCCACAGAAATATTAAAGCTTACACATGTTCAGTCTATATCTTATGTGTGTACATTGTGTTTGACATAAAGACAAATCCACCAACTATCATACCTTACAAGTGCTCAGTTAATTTTTTTATATGTGTACATTGTGTTTGACATAAAGACAAATCCAAC